ACTATGCAGGACCTCAGTTCCCTCCTCCTTACAGGGAGATAAAACAATTGAAATAGTAAGACTGCTGCGAATACTGCATGATCTAAGGTATAACAAATACCCAGCTCACAGATGGTCCCGAACTAGACATTCAATAAAGGGTAGGTGTTGTCATCATTATTGTTCCTATCATTAATAATAACAAATAAATTCATGCAATGGAATACTATACAGCCCCTAAAATGAAAGCAGTAGCTCTGTAAGCGTGGGTATACAAGAATCTTCAAGATAGAGTGTTAAAAAAGCGAAGTGGGGGGTAATGTGATCCCAGTCGGGGACCAAAAAATAGGGGATAGTATAATATGTCATAGCCGTATAGAACTCATCTGAAAAGATACACAGCAAACGGGTAAGCATAAGCTGTCTCTAGCGAGTAGTGGGTGGCTGGGGGACAGGGTGGGAGGAAAATGCATTTTTCACTGTTGGAGCCCAGAACGGTATACCCACCACTGTCGGAATGTCTTTCCTAACTGTCCCCTGGCCCAAAGGTCCATGAAGTTCCAAGTTGCGCATAGCACCTAACCTCTCCTGTCCCCTGTTCCTACTGATTCCCAGCTGGGAACAACTTCTGTCCCCTCAGTTCCTGCGCCAGACTCCTGGCTGATATATCTTCTTACCCTCTTCACTTCCCGTCACCCCCACAGTCTGTCAGTCCCCAGGCGCTCCTGCGTCCTCACATTCTCTGCCCCACCCCCCTCCTTTTTGTCCGCAGGGTCCCAGCCCCAGCTCGGGCATCCTCCCCCTGCATCCATCCCCCCCACAGGGCCCCAGAGGGGACTCTCCGACGCCCAGATCTGACCACAGCCCTCCATGGCTCCCTGTCACCCCCCAGGAGAAAGTTCCCAGCCTGGCCTTCGAAACGCTCGCGAGCCTGGCCCCGCCCACCACCTCAGCCGCATCTTCGGAGCACATCGGCTCCTGTCCCCTAAGGCTCTAGGCAGACTTGACTGCTTTGCGGTCCTCGCGGAATCGCCCCCTGCTCCCTGCTTTCGAGCCTCTGCCTGGAACGCCCTTGCTGCGGCCAGCCCCCTTCTCCGCCACCCAAATCTAACTTCTCCCGGTTCTCGGAGGTCCCTCCGGCTGTCCTCAAGTGAAAGGATTTCTTCCGCCCCTGGGCTCCCACGGCCGCCGGCCTCTGGTTCTGTCATACCCCGATCGCCCTGGATTGGAACTGTCTGCGTCGGGGGCTGTCTCCTCCATCAGACTGAGAGCTCCGTCTGCAAGGGCAGATACGGGTCTGATTCACCTTTGGGGCCCCAGTGCGGGGAGCGGGAGGGGGACCGCAGCGGAGGGGAGAGAAGGGAGGGCAGGAAGGGGGAGAGCGAGGAGGGGAGCGGACCCCGCTGCGGCGGGGGAGGGAGGGCCAGCGGGTGGAGGAAGAGGAGAGACACAGAGACCAGGAGGAGAATGCACCGCGCAGGAGGCGGCGGCCGCGGCGAGACGGCGAGGGAGCAGAGGTGGAGGGCGCGGGAGAAAGCGGAGAGGGGCGAGCCGGGCCGGCAGCGGGAGGCGGAGGGAGGGAGAAGTGGAGCGCGGCGCCCCGCCGCCCCGGCCCCTTTTGTCCCTTCCCTCCGCCCTGCGTCACGCTCCCGTCCGGCCTCCCCGCGCGCTCCCTCCCCCGCCCGCGCCTCCTCCCCGGGGCTAGATGGAATTTTTTCCCCTGGACCGGGGCCAGCTCCGGGGCCGGGGGAGGCAGGCCGGGCCCGGCCGGCGGCGGGGAGGGGCCGGGGCGGGGGCGCCCGGGGAGGGGGCCGGCCCGCGGGGTCCCGGGCGGAGACGCGGGCCGGAGGGAGTCGGGAGGAGGGAAGGAGGATGGCGGGGCCGCGGGGAGGAAGGGGAGAGGCCGTCGGGCGGCAGAGGCGGGGAGAGGATGGAGAGCGGGCGGCGGCGGGCCCGACTCGGCGCGGCCTGAGGGCTGGCCGGGGAGCCCCTGCCCTGCGACGCGGGAGCCCCGGAGCCGTGAGTCTGCGGAAAGCGGGATTGGTGGGCGGGAGGGTGGAGGACGGCGGGGGCCAAGACCCAGGGTCCCAGAAGGAGGAGGCCTCGGCGGCCTGGGTTTCTGGGTTCCTGGAGGAGGCGGGGGCTGGGGACCCAGACTCCCGAATCCTTGGAGGAGGGGGCTGGGGGCCTGGGGGCCGGGACTCTGGGGGTCCGGAGGAGGAGAGGCCGGGAACACCTCCTGGATTCCAGAGGAGGAGAGAGATGGGGCCGGGATAGCTAGATGCGGAGGCTGGAGGACACTCGGGCAAGATGCCCGCCCGAGCCCTCAGGGGAGGTGGAGGGAGAGAGGCTGGCTTTGGAGGTGCCTCCGGCAGCGGAAGGGTTAACGTCTGGCTGGAGGGGAGGGGGAGGGGCAGGGAAGGGGCTGCGGGGCTTTGCGGGGTCAAGGGTGAGCCGTGCGAGGTGGGGGCGGAGGAGGGGGGAGGTTGTCTGGGCTGCCAGACAGGCCAGGGTCAGCGGCGGGGGCAGGGGATGTCTGGCGGAGGAGAGGCCCAGCATCCAGGCTCCCTTGGGGACCTGGGATTCCAGGCCCCAGCCCCCTCCTCCCTCAGACCTGGGAGTCCGCAACCCTGTCCCCTCCCTCAAAATTCCAGAATCCGAACCCTTAGCCTTCTTTACCCCAGGACCCGTGAGGGTCTGGGCCTCCGGCCTCTTCTTCCCTCAGACCTGGAAGTCCACACCCCAACCCCCACCCTTAACAAAATGACCAAGTCCGGGCCCCTAGCCCTTCCTCCCCCGAACCCAGGCGTCCCCACCTCTTCTTTTAGCCCCAGCTGGATCCCAGCCCTCCGGGGGTTAAGGGGGCGGGGCCAGCTGGTTGCCATGGTGCCAGACTGTTTGGGTCTGCTCTCTGACCCTTGGGGGCTCCCCAGGGTCTGTAGAGAGGGGGAGGGGGACCCAGACCTGAGGGAAGTCCAGCGCCAACCCCTTCCCCAAATTGGGCCTATGGACCCAGAGAGTTCATGTCTCCATCAACGCCGTGTCCGGTGACCTTGAACAAGTCCTGACCCTTCTCTCTGGGTCTCAGTTTCCCCAAGGAGAAATTTGTCGGGGGAGTGGGGAGATGCTCGGGTCCTGCAAATCTTTAAGATTCTCAGCTCCCCTCTCACCCCCTCCTCAGGCCCCAGGCAGCCCCGGGGCATGCTGGGAACCCGGCCTGGGCTCTGGGCCAGGTTGTGGGGGGGCGGGGGCAGCCTCCTCCCTTCCCCTTCCTCCCCACCTTGGCCTGACTCTCGCCCCCGCCTGAGGGTCTGGGAGGTTGGGAAGGAGGGAAGGGGGATGAGAGCCGGACCCGACTCTGGCCCCCCATCTCCTCCATTCCTCCTCCGCCCCCTTCCCGCCTCTCCTCCCCCTCCTCAGCAGGTCGCTACCCCAGCCCTGGGCCCCTTCTCGAACCACCCCCACCCCACCCCCAGCTCCAGACCTGGCTCCGAGCTGTGAGGGGGAGGGAGAGAGGGAAGGAGAAAGACAGAGAGAGAGAGAGAGAGACAGAGACAGAGAGGGGGCGAAGGAGAAGGGAGGGAGAAAGAAGGGTGGGAGGGAAGGGAAGGGAGGAAAGAGACAGAGGGAGACAGAGATGTGAGATGGAGAGAAAGGGAGAGGAGAAGGGAGAAGGCCAGAGACAGAGACCTTGAGGAAGAAAGAGACTGAGAGAATGAGAGACAAAGAGAGAGCGAGGGAGGAGGACCAGGGAGGAAGAAAGACCTAAGGGAAAGAAAAAGAATGAGAAAGGAGAGAGAGAGGGAGAGGCCATCCGCGAGGGAGAGCGCCAGAACCACGGAGGGGAGAGCAGGACGAGCGTGGAGAATGAGAAACAGGCACAGGAGGTGGCGGCGACCAGGTAAGCCAGGGTCCGACACGGGGACCAGGCGCAGCAGGGACAGACAGCAGGCTGAGAGGGCCTGAAAGATGGAGGTGGAGCGTGGTGGGGGGAGAGCAAGACAGACAGAACTGGACAGAGGGCCTGACCTGCGACTGGCAGGTGCACACTCTTAGCCCTGGGGTGGCAAGGCTGGGGGCTGGGCCACCGCCTACCAGGCCCAGCTCCTCCCACTTGCCCGTCTGGGGCCCAGCCTCTCCGGATCTCTGGGAGGCCTTCTTCCCTGCCCAGTGGGGGAGCTGACAGCATTCTGCTGGGCGTGGGGCAGCCTTAGGGCTCAGGGATCACGGCTGTCATCATTATAAATGATAGGCCAAAAGAAGAAATGGGGGAATATCTAGAGAGGTTTGAAGGTTTCATATCCCTGCCTCCGCCCTAGTCCTGGATTCCAGAATCTGACAGGTAGAGAGGGAGGGAGCTGCTTGCCCAAGGGGCCAAACTCCCAAACAGGTGAGGTTCCCTCTGACTCCACATCCAGGAAGCCGGGCTATGCCTCCCCCGGGGAGGCAGGCCTGGCTGGACTCCTGGGTCTGAGGGAAGAGGAGGCTGGGGGCCTGGACTTCCGTGTCTGAGAGAGGAAGGGCCTGCCAGCCTGGACTCCAGGGACCGTTGAGGAGGAAGGGGCCAGGGGCCTGAACTCCTGGGTCCCTGCTGAGGAAGGGGCCAAGGGACTGATTCCTGGGTTCCTTGGGGAGGAGGGGGCCGGGGGCCCGGATTCCTGGGTCCTGGCACCCACCCGTAGAACCGACCTTGCGGGGCCTTCGCCGCACACAAGCTCGAGTCTGTGGGTCCGTGTCGGGGGCTCACCATCGCGGCTGGGGTCTTCCCGGCCCTCCCCACCCTCCCTGACCCCATCTGTCCATCCATCCGTCTGTCTGTCCACCGGCCGCGCCCCCCGGGCTGAGGTAGGAGGTTGTATAGTTGAGGAGGACACCCACGGAGATCACTATACGGCCTCCTAGCTTTCCCCAGGCTGCGCCCTGCACGGGACGCCCGGCGGGGACCCCAGCCCCTGACCGCAGCCCCATGCCCGGGGACCCTGGGAGGAGGAGCTGGGCTGTCTCTCCTGTCCTGCATTCCCTCCTCCCACTTCCCTCAAAGAATTTCTCTCCCATGAAGAAAACTTTATTTTGCTTTCTCTGTCTGTCCATCTCCACCGTGTCTCTGGAGCGGGCTGTGTGTCTACCCTGCGGCCTCTCAGACCCTCCCTCCCTCTCTTATTGTGCTTTCCGGTATCTCTCCATGTCAGTTTCTGTCTCTCGGGCTCTCACGGTATCTCTGTGCCATCTCTGCTCTGACTCCCCCACCCCCCCACCCCAGGGCCTGTCAGGCCACCACACACCACACTGCCGGCCTCTGGGTCCCTGAGACCCTTTAACCTGTGAGGACATCCAGGGTCACAGGTGAGGTTCTTGGGAGCCTGGCGTCCGGCCCATCCACAAGCTGGGGGATCACCCACCTGACCCCTGACTCCTCACACCCCATCTCCCTGAAAACCCAGACCTTGACATTTGACCGACAGCAGAAATCCAACCTCTGACCTGTACCCCATGCCCTTCCCCCACCCCATGGTGACCTCACAAAGGTCACCAGCTTCTCCCTGGGCCACGACCCTCTGTTATGGCCCTGCTGGCCCAAGACAGCGCTGTCCCATCTGCCCTGGTCGCCCTCATAGTCTTGAGGGCCCCCGCCTGGGCCTGTCTCCTCTGCTTCACGTCCTATAAGGAGCGCATGCGCATCTGCCAGATCTTTATTGGTGTACAGGGCCCCGAGCTGGAGAAGTGTGAGGAGGCATTCGCCGCTGCCTTTGAGGGCCTCCTAGACACTGAAATCAGTGAGGCGACCCGTCACTTCCCCTGGGGGGCCTGGGGGTCGAGGCGCATAATGCACAGGGATCTTCCAGACAGCGTGGAAAACCACTGAGAGAGAGAGATTCGCCCAGAGTGGGAGGGTGGGGGCAGATTTAGAGGGGAGGACGGAGACTGAGGGACAGACTCAGTGAGGGGAGGATCGAGTGGGGGTCCAGACTGAAGGGGGGGGAGGATAAAGACTGGGGGGCAGACTGAAGGGAGGATATAGATGGGGAGACAGACTCAGAGCGTGGGGAGGATAGAGATGTGGGGGGACAGACTCCTGGAGAAGGTGGGGGATAGACTCGGGGGAGGACAGAGATGGGGGACAGACTCCGGGAGGACGGAGATGGGGGACAGACTCCGGGAGGAGAGTAAAGTTGGGGGACAGACTCCAGAAGGAGAACAGAGATGGGGGAAAGACTTAGAGAAGGCAGGATAGACAGGGTAGATAGAAGGGGGTGTGGGACAGACTCAGAGATGGGGGACAGCAGTGGGGCCAGCACAAAGACTTGGAGACAGGAGGTGTCCTAGAGAGACAGAGAATGTCCACACCGTGGATGTGGTGTTGAGGGAACCGCTTTTCCCAGCCTCCGTCCTCCACCCTTGCTCCCAGACTACGATGAGAGAAGCCACCTGCATGACGCCTTCACCCAGATGACCCACTCTCTCCAGGAGATGGCCACGGCCCGGGGTGAGTGGGGTGGGGATGGTTTGGTGGATGTGGGGTGCAAACCCCCAAGAGATGGCTGTGGGGGGGCACAGAATGTGGCAGATCCGGAGGAGGCAGTGCTAATAAGCTGAATGAGCTTGATTACTTGTCGGGGGGGCGGGGCAAGGGATGGGCGGGTGCTGGTGGGGAGCTCAAAGACCAGTGCAGAAATGACCTAGAGTCTGAAGCCTAGTTGGGGTCAGGTAGACATGAGCTCTGAGCTGGCTGTGTGGCTCCCCCGCTTCCTGGCTATGAGGTTCTGGATGTGTTACTGCCTCCCTCTGGGTCTCAACTTACCCACCTATAAGATGGGACAAGGTCCTTGCCTCCCTGATTGAGGTGCAGTACGGTGAGAGAGAGGAGCCTCAGAGGGAGAGGGAGCACTGCGTGCCGCATAAACTGGCCAGTCCTTGCTCCAGGGCTCAGGGCTTCTTTCTGCGGCTGCTGTTACCTTTGTTTTCTGGGCTTGCCCACCAAGCTTTCTGACAATGATCCCAAAAGTTGAGGAGGTACCTCTCCACCCAGGGGGCATCTGGGGGAGTCAGCACGGAGAAGACTTCAGCTGCAGATCCCCCATCCCCATAGAGAGGCCTGAGCAACTCAAAGCTGGGGTGGGGGGAGGTGCTGAGGACTCCAGAAAACACCTTCTTCCCACTTAGGCTGTCTTGTCATAGAAGGTTTTGAAGAGAGCAGGAGCAAGTGCAGTTCTGCATGTAGAAGACCCCCCTAGACCTGTGTGTGGGATGCACTGGAGCAGGGAGGCAGTGGAGGCTGGGAGGCCTGGGTGGAGGCTGGGGTGAGGAGGCCCGAGCTGGGGCGGGGCTGTGAAGGTGGAGAAGCAGGCACTCAAGAAGAGAGTCAAGGGCGGGAGGGACGGGGCTTGGGTCTGACAGTCTGTCTGGGGACTAGGGTCTAGGGGTAATGGACAGCGCCCAGGGTCCAGCTCCATGCGAAGGTGGGCCCTGGGTCCTGCCTGAGACAGGGAGTCCGGGAGAAAGAGCAGCGGTGGGAGCAGATGGTGAGCTGGGCTAGGCCATTGCGAAGGTGAGGAACTTGGGGGATATCCAGGACACAGCTAGACACACAGGTCCAGGGTTTAGCTGAAAGGTCAAGGACACTTAAGACTGTCCGCGGGCTGTGAGCAGGGGGAAGGGGGGCGCCGCTCTGGGCACAGAAAGACCCTCTGGGGTTTTGAGGGGGGCAGACTGGAGGCCGGGAGAAGCTGGTGCAATACGACCGACGGGTGTTTTCATCGAATGTGCCAGAGACACTGGGGACATAGTTGTGACCAAATCTGCAACCACTAGCCCTCACGTTGCTCATACTGTGGGGTGGGAGGGACAGACAATAAACATAATCAGGGAAACACTGCAGTATGTCAGTTGGTAATCCAGGATCTGGAGGCAGACAGGGAGCGAAAGGGAACGGGGACCCAGTGGGTGGTTATTTTAAATAGGCTGGTCAGGGTTGTTGCACAGGAGAAGGTCCAGCTGAGGAAAGCCCTGAACCAGGTGGCAGAGCCAGGCAGGTAACTGGGGAGGGGCGTGCGAAAGAGCATCCTGGGCGGAGGGAAGAGCCAGTGCGAAGGGCTGGAGTGCAGTCGACGGGGATGAGTGATGGGAGGCTGAAGTCAGAGGCCGCAAGAACCACATCCCGTAGGACCTCAGAGGCCAGTGGTTCTCAGGCCCCGGTGTGTGCAGGAAGCTCCTGGGAGCTTGCAGAAATGCAGACTCCTGGGTCCCACCCTCCATTCCTGACCAGTAGGTCTGAGGCAGGGCCAGGAAACCGAGTTCCCAGCCGCTGCTGCTCCAGGAACACACTTGGAGAGCCTTCTTGCGGACCATTGAACTGACTTCAGCTTGAGGTGGGAGCCATCAGAGGGTTTTGGCAGAGAGAAAGAGGCAGGATCTGACCAAGGCCACGACGGCCAAAGGCAGAAGCAGGGAGACCGGTGAGGAGGTCAGCAGTGGTTCAGACCAGTCGCAACCCCAAGACGAGGGCTGGCAGAGAGGGGCAAGCGTGAGGGGGGAGGGGTAGGAAGATGATGGATCTGACTCTGTGCCAAACCTGCCCCACACATGGGAGAGGCTGTGTCTGCACTAACTGATAACTAATTATCCTCCTGAAGGCTATCTTCATACCAGCCCTGTCCGGCGGGGTTTTGTAACCCCACTTTCCAGATGGGGAAGTTGGGGCCCAGCTGGACAGAAAGGATGGACCCAGGAGATATTGGGACTGGCTGTATTGGGGTGGGGGGCTGGGGAGGGAAAGGGCAATTCCTAGGTCTCCCAGATCGAGGACCTAAGAGATGGACCTGCGGACTCAGAGAGGCTCTGGATGGTGGCAGGTGATACTGTTTGTGTCTATAAACCAGGGAGTGGGTGGTATAGTGTGGAGAGAAGGGCAGTGTGCCAGAGGGAATGCAGTTCAACCACCGGGGGTCAAATCTAGCTCTGTGATCTTCAGCTACCTTCCTAACTTCTCTGTGCCTCCGTTTCCCCATCTCAAACTTGGAGATGGTAATACACTCACAGTATACCAGACACCATCCTAAGCGCTTACGAACATCCTCTCACGCAGCCATCCAATGTCACGTAGTTTGGCATGGGGATGCTTTTATATTGTATGGCTTTAAATCCCACCCCCCAGTCCTAATATTGTCCTCATTTTACCAAGCGAGGATCAGGAAAGTTACATATTTGGTCAAGGTCATGCAGAGAAGAGGACTTGAAATGGATTCTTCAGATGGGAGGCAGGTGTGCTCACAGACGGATGAGCCAGGACTCGAACCCGGATGGTCTGAAACAGCTGGAAGTTTCCTAACGATACACACCCCTTTGAGGGAGACTTGGCAACATCCACCCATGCCCCCTCATGGTTCACTTGAGATAACCTTCACCCCTTGGCCTCTCTGGACATTTCACGCCATCCCTACCTTATTCCCATGATTCACACACACACACACACACACACACACACACACCCCTGCCATAGCTCCCTTGGCATATCCCACACTCATCCTCCCTGTGAGTTACTTGGTTTGGCACAGAGATATTTCTTGAATGACTCTCCAGCATCCTGGACTCTCATTTGAGCACCCCACTCTGACCCCATCCTCCTGACCATCCTGCCATCTCCAGACCACACGCCCACCCTGTGGCCAAGGAGAGACCTCTAAGTCCTTGACCCCTCATTTTGAACCCACTTCCTGGCTTCAGTGCCCCCTCTCTCCAGTTTATACCCAAAGATCATCCCATCAGCCACTCTCACCAGTATTCGTTCCTTCCCTTTCTGTATGGTTTGAAATCACAGAGGCACAGGCAGTGGCGTAAACAAGCTAGAAGTCTTGAGGCAGGCGCTTAAGTTTCAGATGGCAGCACCACTTCCTTTTCTGGGGGACCCAAACCCCTTCCAGCTTCCTGCTTTACTATCCTAGGATGCGATCCTTATCCTCATGGTTCTGAGTCACTGCTAGAGCTCCAGCCATCAAATCCAAGTCTCAGGCAGCAGATGGAGGAAGGGGAAAAGTCAGTAAGATGGTGCCCCTTCTCTCTTAAGGCTCCTTCTTGTGACTCGCATACGACACTTCCACTTACAAATCAGACCGAAACTTGGTTATATGACCACAAGGGGGTCACAGGACCACACGAAGCTGCAAGGGTACTGGGAATATAGTCTTTTAGTTGGGTGGTTGGTAGGGCCGGGGGGTGCTTTCCCCAGCAGAAATGCAGTGTGATGTTACTACAGAAATATTTGGAAGCAACCAGCAATCCCTGGTATCAGTTTCCTAGGGCCCCTTTAACAAAGTGCCATACACTGGGTTGCTTAAAAGATAGAAATGTATTTGTTCACAATTCTGGAGGCTAGAAGTCCAAGATCAAGGTGTCAATGTGAGCAGGGTTGGTTCCTTCTCAGGCCTTTCTCTCTGGCTTGTAGATGTCCATCTTCTCTCTCTCCTGTGTCTTCACATGTTCTCCCCTCGGTGTGTCAGTGTCCAGATCTCCTCTTATAGGGCAATCAGTCACACTGGATCAGGGCCCACCCTAATGGCCTAATTATAACTTAATTACCTCTTTAAGGCTGTATATCCAAGTGCAGTCACATTCCCAGGTCCTGGGGGTTAGCCTTCAACATTATGAGTTTGGGAGGGACACAGTTCAGACAGAGAGCACAGGAAGGGGCCAAGGGAGAGAGAGAATCCCAAGCAGAATCTGTGTTGAGTGCAGAGCCCAACGCAGGGTTTGATCTCACAACCCTGAGATCATGACCTGAGCAGAAATCAAGAGTCAGACACTTAAGCAACTGAGCCACCGAGGCGCCCCACATCTGCTGCATTTCTAAATTCCCAAACCACCTCCACCAGTAAATCAATCCAGCCAGCCATCCGCATTGGGAAGAGCCACAAAACCTCACAGTTTGGAGGCCAGTACAATGATCAAAACTCCAACACCCTCGAGAACAGAGATAAAAAGAGTCAAAGGGGGTAGAAATGAATAGTCTGGAGACCATGCGGAAGTGGCAGGTGCGGGCCCTGGCGAAAGGGGGTAGCTGCCACCAAGCTAATTGCTGCCTCATGAAAATACAGTCTCTTGTGTTAGAGCTCTTCCAAATTTTGGAAAACAGATGCCAAACATTTTATGTGACTTTCCCAAATTTTATATGATGGCAACTGGTTCATTTTTAAAAATACTTTCCAGTCCAAATATAACACATTCAAGAGATGGACTAGAGCCACAGGCCACCAGTTGTGGTCTCCACTCTAGCTGGATCCTGGAATTCATTCTACACATACTTCCTGAGCACTTGCTAAGACTCAGGGCCCTCTCCTGGGTTCTGGAGATACAGCACTGAAGAATGACCTATTTACTAACTGAAGACACAGACTTAAATGATCATTGTATGTATAAATATATATAATTGTACACTGGTGAAAACTCTACGTGGATCAAATGGAACACTTGGAGAGGCAAAAATAGGGAACTGGATTAGATTAGATTTGTGGTCAGGGAAAACCTCGAAGGAGATGACATGAGGTAGGAGATGAAGGATGAGTGGGAGTAGCAGAAAAGGTGTGCTAGGAACACGCCAGCACATGCAAAGGCCCTGAGGTGATAGAGATTATGGTGGTGTTCATACTAGGGGAAATGAAAGGTGGGTAACAGGCACGGTATAGAGAGGTGGAGGAAACTAGGCCAGATCTTACAGGGCCTAGCAGAACTTTGTGAGGAATTTTATCTTTATCCTCCTCTTTCCCCTCAACAAGATCAACACAGAGGATGCAAAAGAGGGGTTCCATCAGAAAGATAGTCCAGAGGCACACGAAAGGAGACTTGGGGGATCTGTCAGCCTTCCAGGTAGACAGGGCAGGAGGCGGGGATAAAAAGGGGTGTTTTATATACTACACATGTGGGTTTGGAAGGGACTGAGGAAGTGACAAACACTTCCTTGAGGAAGGGTTTTTACTACAAGGCCCCCCTCCACCCTCCAGGGTCCTTTAAGGTGGCTTTTCCTAATGCTGCGGAGAAAATGCGGAAGGTCATTGCGCAGCTTAAAGAAGGTAAAAGAAGCTAAGCGCGCGCACACACAGTTCTAAAACCCTGAGCCAGCCATCTTCTCTCCTCAATCCAGTCCCTCTGAGTCTCTTCCCCTGCGAGGAACATTCTAGAATCTGCTAGGACCCCCATCTTGGGATGCTTCCGTCCCAGATTAGCCTGGGCCTCTCTCCCGGATCTCCCGGGCCCTGCACACTCTGGGACGTCTCCTTTCCAACTGGGCCCCCTCCGTGGGCGAATTCTAGCCAGGCCACACCTCTTCTCTAATTGAACCCCCCTCCTTTGACCCTGTCCCCTGAAACTAGCGCCCAGGGTCTAACCCCGCCCCGCCCCCTCTCCCCAGTGAAATACACCAGTGTCGATCCCGCCTTAGCTGCAGGTCTGCGCGGAACCTTAGAGGAATACAGCAGACCTGGCCCCGCCTACAGGTGGAAGGCTACGGGCAGAAAGCCGCAGGCCTGGCTCCGCCCCTAGGTGGGCGGTGGCAGGCCTGGCTCCGCCCCCTCAGGAAAGCATCTGGCCCCGTAACCTGTCCTCTAGGGGAGCTTCAGGTAAGCACCTCCAGGCCTTCCAGGATAGTAACGCTTCCTCTCTCTCCACAGTCCAGGCCTGCATCCCTCCATGCGGTAAGCTCTTCATCCCAAACTCCGAATTGAGGGGGAAGGGAGGTGGTCGGGAGCGAAACCCGGCATTTAGAACAGGAGACCAATAAGAACCCTGGAGAAAAGCAATTAAACCAGGTATTGCTCACAAACTTAATACAAGGCGGGCCCGAAAGCAAAAACAAGCCAATAGGAGCCCTAGAGGTCGGAGAGCGTTGCAAGCCAGCCAGTGAGCGCGGGGAAGGCGGCGCCCGGGACCTGTGTGGCCGTCAGAGCCCGGAGGTTTCACAGACCCTAACCTGGCCAGAGGGACCCGGGCTGGGGAACGCGGATGGAGCCCAGGTGCAGCGTTTCCGTCCCGCAGGACTCCAGGAGGTCGCCCGGCGTTTCCGCTGTCGCGGGTGCTACTCCACGGTCTGCGACCTCCCGCTGGACTGCCCAGGTGAGGGGCGGGGCCTGGAAGGGAAGGAACCGCCCGGACCGGAGGAACGGGAGCTGAGCGGGGAAGCGACCCGGCGAAACGGGGGAGGGCTCGGGCGGTGACGCGGACCTGTTTTCAGTTCAGGACTTGACGGTGGCTCGGGGTCATGAAGCTAAGTTCTCTTGCACTGTGAACTTTGAACTGCCTAAGGAGGAAATCACCTATTCCTGGAAGTTCGCAGGAGGAGGTGTGAGTCCGAGCGGGGCCAGCGCGAAGAGCTTAGGAGGGTTATGCTTCTCTAGAGGATGCGGGGCCAGGACGCCGCGGGTGGGGATTGGGGGAGCTGGGTCTAGATTCAGGCTTCGTGCAAGGGTGGGGGGTCCCGGGATTTAGAAGAGGAGGCGAGGCTCCGGAGGCCGCTTCTAGGGGCGGGGTCGTGCGTGAAGGGTAGGTGACTCTGAGGTTAGGGGTGGGCACAGGGCTTGAGGAGGCGTGGTCTAGCTCGGGGGCGGGGCTTGAGCGTGGCGTGTTGGCTAGACCCGGCAGAGGGAATCTGACCTGGGCTCGGGCGAGGCTCTTCTCCTCCCGCCGCTTCAGCCCGAGCGTCCCTCAGGTCCGGACGCAGGACGTGTCCTACTTCCAAGACCTCCCGTGGGCCCGGGGATACCTGGCGCGGATCCGGCCGGTGCAACCCGCGCACCGTGGGACATTCTCTTGCGTGATCGTGCACGACCAGATCCCACTGGCGCGGCTCTACTTCTTTCTTAACGGTGCGGGCGGGGCTGCATGGGGGCGGGGCTGCGCGGGAGGCGGGGCTCGCGCCTGACTGACGTGCGTGCCCCGCAGTGACTGGTGCGCCCCGACGTGGGGAGACCGAGCTCCAGGTCTCCTTTCGGGAAGTGTTGCGTTGGGCGCCCCGGGAGGCTGACATGATCAAACCTTGGAGGCCAAGCCTGGGCGAGCTGCTGGCCAAGCCCGAGGCTCTGACGCTGAGCAACCAGTGCCTACTTGCGGCCGTCGTGGCCTTAGCGTCAGCCGGTACGACCCTTATGGTGTGGTGAGTTCCCAGGACCGCGGAGTCCCAGCACCTGCTCTCCTTCCTCAGACCTGGTGTCCAGCACCCTCAGACCCAGGACTCCAGGCCCCCACCTCCCTCCACTTTCAGACCAGGAGTCCAGGCCCCCAACCACCCCGTCCCTCAGACTCAGGAGTCTAGACTTCCACCTCCCTCAGACTCAGGAGTCCAGACCCCCAGCCACCTCCTCCCTCAGACTCAGGAGTCCAGACTTCCACCTCCCTCCTCCCTCAGACCCAGGATCCCAGGCCCCCAGCTGCCATCTCCCTCAGACCTAGGAGTCTAGACGCCTCAGACCCAGGAGTCCAGGACCCCAGTCTCCTCCTCCTCCAGTTTCAGGAGTCCAAAACCCCAGGCCCTCTTCCCTCAGATCCAAGAGTTCAGGCCTTATCTACCTTTGGAACCCAGGCTTCCAGAACCCGGATATCTAATCCCCAACCTTTCCCCCCAACACAAATCCCTCCTTGTTTCCCCAGGATGTTCTTTCGATGGTACTTCCAAGGCAGCTAGCAAAGGTATCTTTTTCTTCCTTATCCTGTTTTCATTCCTAAAATAAAGAATATATTTCAGCTCTGTAGATTCTTTCATCTTTGCCGGTGGTCACTACTAACGCAGGTAGGAGGAGGCCAGCATACCTCATTTATGCCCAGGTGACTATTCCTCTAATGACAGTAATATGTAGAGTTGTCACAGTACAAGGTCCTGTGTTGAGGACTTTAGATACAAGCCCAGACCCCTCCCCAGATTTCTGGCAGTCTCTTTGACATTTCAACTTGCAGAAATGGAGTCCTTGTTGAACTTGACGTGGGACTCGACATGGGGCTGGATCTCACAACCCTGAGATCATGACCTGATCTGAAATCAAGAATCAGATGCCTAGCTGACTGAGCCACCCGGAGCCCCATGGAGTTTAGATCGTAATGGATGGTCAGATAATAAACAAGAAAATTAAGCACAATAAGACATGGATCAAGTCAGAAACTAGCAGGAGCAGAAGCCCCTTAATGCGCCTAGTGTTGGGGACATAGCCATGGGGAGGCATCTGGAGGAGGACTTTAGAAATGAGTGTGCAGAGAGAATGTGAAGGGACCAGATCACGTAGGACCCTGGCCACTGTAAGGTTTGGCTTTTCCTCTGAGATGAGAGTTATGGGCAGTTTTTGAGGTGAGGAAGGTCATGATTTGATTTGATTTGCTTGGCTAATGCATGGATAAACTCTAGCGGCAGGGGTGGAAGCAGGAACCAGTGTTAGGTGCTGTGGTAATCCGGACAGCTTTAATCCAGGAAGGAGATGCAGCTCGGGGACAAAGTGGTGACAGTGAGGAGCAGTGGTTCTAGATCTGTCCTGAAGGTAGAACCAGTGGGGTTTGCTGATGGATCAGAGTGTTGGGTATGAGAGGAAGAAAGGAGAAGGGGCAAGTGTCAACAGGCATGGCAGTGCCAATGTCTGTAGAACCCTCTGCCATGACGGGAATATTCTAGATATGCACTGTCCATTGTGGTGGCCTCCAGCCACTTATGGTATTGAGGCAGGTCAAATGTGGCCAGTGACACTGAGGAGCTAAATTTATTTTTTTTTTGAAGATTTTATTTATTTGTTTAAGGGGGGGAGGAGCAGAGGCAGAGGGAGAAACAGGCTCCCCGCTGAGCAGGGAGCCAGATCTGGGACTCCATCCCGGGACTGCAGGATCATGACCTGAGCCAAAGGCACATGTTTAACTGACTGAGCGCCCCCAGACACCCCTGAGGAGCTAAATTTATAATCTTATAGCTTTAATAATTTAAATTGTCCTTCATCTATGAAAATAAAAGTCATAAGTGTCCGGGCATCCTGGTTATAACTCTGGAACCCTCTTTGTTTACTTGACTAAGGGCTGCTGGAAAGCAGGGGCTGCCTCTTATTTCTATATTTGCAAACCTGGCAAAACATGGAATTCAGTACATACTTGGTCAATGGTTTGGGGGTTGATTGATGTCATCAAAGAATGAGTGAATGAAAAAAAAAAAAAAAACCCAGTCCTGTGTGGTAGGGGCCACTGTTGAGCACAGTGTGGTTCTAGCATTTTTGGCCTGAGCAGCTAGAGTGTCAGAGTTCCGTTTACTGCTGTAGGAAGAGCAGGTTTCATGCGGACTGAGGAGGAGAAAGAGGAGGACAGATGAGGGGTTGGGTCTGATAAGAGAGGTGTCCCAAGTGGAAGTGTCTTGGAGGCAGTTGGGTAGATGCGTCTGGAATTTAGGGGTGAGGTCTGATCTGAAGATAGAAGCGGCAGAGCCCCCTTTCCAGGCATGGAGCATGAATGAGGTATCCAGAGCCATGCCACTGGCTTGCCATGCCACTGGTTACACAGAGGAAATGAGTGTAGATGGATAAGAGAAGTGGGTAGGAGGAGGTTTCTCCAAAGTTAAGCAGTCCAAACTATAAAGAGGAACTGAGAAGGAAAACGGGGGGAAAGCCAGGCAGCTGCAGCATTCTCAAAGCCAAGTGAAGACAGCATTTCACAGGGAGAGGGATCAGCTGGGTCAGATGCTGCCACATGGTGAAAGACGAGGCCTGAGAATTGACCACTGGTTTTAGCAATGGGGACATCACTGATGAACGTGACCAGAGCCATTTCCATACAGCAGTGGTGGGGGAGTCATCTGATTGGCATGGGTTTAAAAGTCAGTGGGAGGCCACACTTGTCATCAGGGAAATGCAAATCAAAACCCCAGTGGGATACCATTTCACACCATCTGGGAGGCTATAATCAAAAAGTCAGGTGAGGGGTGCCTGGGTGGCTCTGTCTGTCTTAGCCTCAGGTCAGCGTCCCAGGTTCCTTGGATCAAGCCCCACATTGGGCTCCCTGCTTAGCGGAGAGTTTGCTTCTCCCTCTCCCTCTCCCCTCACCCCATTCAGCTGTCTCTAATAAATCTTTTTTTAAAAAAGTCAGGTGATAACAAATGTTGGTGAGGATGTAGGGAAATTGGAACCCTCCTCCTTTGCTGGTGAGAATGTAAAATGGTACAGGCACTGTGGAAGCCATCTGGCACTTCAATAAATTAAACAGGTTCACCACATGACTCAGCAACTCCACTCCTTGAGAATCCCCCTGAGGAGAACTTAACCCGTGTTCACACAAAAACTTGTATGTGAATGTTCACAGCCTTATTCACAATGGCCCCAAACCAGAAACATCCCAAATGTCAGTCAACTGATAAATGGATAAACCAAATGTGACACATCCCTGTGGTGGGATATTATTTGGCAATAAAAAGGAATGAGCCAATGATACATGCAAATCTGTAGAGACAGAGTAGATTATGGGTGTCTAGGGCATCAAGGTGGTTTCAGGGCGAGGGAATGCAAGGAACTGCCTGTGGGTATGGGGTTCCTTTTTGGGTGACGAAAATGTTCTAAAATGAGATTACAGTAATGATTGCACAAGTCTATAAACTTACTAAAAACCACTGAATTACACACTTGACAAGGCTGAACTTTGTGGGAGAGAAATTGGAGACAAATGTAAACAGCTCTCAAGGAGTTTTGCTGTTAGAAATGAGACGGTGTGGGGCGCCCAGCTGGCTCAGTCAGTAGAGCATGCAAAAGATCTTGATCTCAGGGTTGTGAATTTGAGCCCCATTGCGGGTAGAGGTTATCTTTAAAAAATGAGACTGTAGCTTAGGAGGAAATAGGTCAAGACAGGGAATCTTAAAAATCAGAGTGGGGGGCACCTGGGTGGCTCAGTCGGTAAAGCGTCTGCCTTCGGCTTAGGTCATGATATTGGGGTCCTGGGATGGAGCCCCGCAATGGACTCCCTGCTCAGCGGGGAGCCTGCTTCCCCCTCTGCCACTCCCAATGCTTGTGCTCCCTCACCGCTCACCCTACCAAATAAATAAGCAAACATATTTTTAAAATGTATTTAAAAATCAGAGTGACATCACATTTGAATGCTGATGGGAAAGACTCATGGGGAGGGAAGAACTGATGACCTGGGAAGAACGGAAGGCGTGAGATCTTTGAGTGGACCCGAGGGCATGAGGTCCAGTGCCCCGGTGGAAGCGGTTGGCATTGAAGCAGACAGCTGGCCCTCAGGAGTGGGGGTAGGTGGCCTTTGTGGGCACAGACACAGATCACTGGGAAGATCAGTGAGATGGGAAGCAAGCTAAGGGTGAGGTGCTAGGGGTTTGAGGACACAACGTATGACTTAACTTTTCTTAGAGAGTAGCCAAGTGGACAGACCAAGAAAATGTCCTCCGCGTCACCTAACTGTGTTCCCGCATAGCAGGCACTCCATAAGTACCTGTGATGAAAAGTTGAGAAATTTCGCCCTCACAACTCTGACCCATGGATTATTAGCCCTGTTTCCTGAAGAAGGAGCCTGTCTCCATTCAGACAGCTTGCCCCCAAGACAGAGCCACGAGTCCCCAGCCTTCAACCCTGTAGCCCTTCAGTTCTCAAAAAAAAGGGGGGTGGAGACCCAGAAGAAAATAAATAAAATTATTTATTACATCCTAATCACACAGTACAAATGGATATTAAATAACAACAGGGAGGAAGGAGGCCCCAGGACAGCATGTGGGGACCCTTGTCCTCCCACTCCTAAAAATCCACGCCCTGATCAATAAATACCCCTCCCCAGAGACCCTGAAGTCCCAGCCCCAAAATAGTCCAGGCTGAAGAATCTTGGGTCGACCCCCTCGCTTCACAGAGGAGGGAAACCAAGGCCCAGAGAATCACCCAGCAAGTCCGTGGCTCCCCAGGGCCCCTGCTGGTGTCCTCTCGCTTCCCCTTAAGTCCCTCGGGCGAGCAGCCCGCACACCTGGACTCACACCTGGATCCGGTAGCCCCCCGACCGCCGCCGGCACAGCCTCCGCACGCCCACCCAGTAGAGCGTCAGCATGACCGCCCAGTACCCCACGTAGGCGCCGGCCCCTGCTGCCAGGTGGTGCGCCTCGGCGGCGCGGGAAGGGCCGCTCCAGTCGGCCCGGGCCTCGTGCACCACGCTGCGGACCAGGCCCCCGAGCAGCAGCAGGGCCCAGAGGGCCAGCGGCAGCAGGGGCACGTAGTTGGCGGCCAGCTTGCGCCGGCCGGAGGTGCCCCAGCCGCTCTGGTTCATGGTGGCCAGCGCCAGGAACTTGGCGGGCAGGAGGCCGCCCATGTAGAGCGGCGCGTAGAGCGAGAGCAGCACCATGCGCGGGCAGCCCCGCAGCCAGGCCGCGAAGGCCGCCTTGGCCAGCGCCACGCCCTGCACGCACAGCAGCACCCACAGCAGCGCCCACGGGCGGCCCGCGTAGAAGAGCCGCAGCACGGTGGCTGCCACGAAGAAGGGGAAGAGGCCCGAGACCACCGCCTCGTAGGTCATCCACGCGTGGTGCCGGTGCCACCAGAGCGCGTTGTAGAGCCACTCGCGGAAGTAGGACTTGGACCAGCGTGTCTGCTGGCTCAGCCAGCGCAGGAAGGACGAGGGGGTCTCGGAGTAGCAGCGGGAGCGGGAGGTGTACCTGCGTGAGAGGGGACAGGTCAGGCCATCAGCGCCACCGTCCCTGAGGCCAGCACCGGGGTCAGCGCCAGCCCAACTGCCCCAGGGTT